AACGGGTGTTTCAAAATATTCTCCTGGTGCAAATAAATAGTTCGGGCTCTGTTGTGTTTTTCTAAACCCCCTTTCATTTTCTGTTGTTTTGGGATCTCATATTTTCTATTGTACTGTTAGACTTTTGTGTCGGGCCTCCCTTTATGTCTAATTTGTATTTCCAAAATTTATGTATAATTTGTAAGAACGTAAATTTTATTTAGGCGCAATTGGCTTTTTCAGTGAACTAGCACAGACGGTCATGACGTCCGTTCAGCCATTTTAATTTTAATTTTTATCTTTATTTTTTGAAGGAGACAGTCTGGCTTTTAAATGGTTAAAATGGTTTCCGATGAGGATTGTTCAAAAAAACCAAATTTCAGGAAATGCTTCACAATTTTGTTTCACAGTGTCATAGATGCATAGCAGGCCACAAATTTGTGTATGTGCACTACTGAAAAAAGAAGGCAAAAGTCGCGGTTTGCTTAGAGGGAGAGGAGAGAGACAGTCAGTGCGAGAGAAAGGCCACTTTGAGGTTTCCTTTCGAATTTCCAAAGTAAAGTCAATCTTTAGTATTAGCCAAGACAAAAAAGAAACTTTGATATTTTCTCGCAACAAGTCATCAAGTGTCTCGCGAAGGAGAGAGAGTGAAGCACAATGTCTAATGGTGTGTAATGGCCACGATTACTGTGCATTCGTGACTTATAAGATTTAACCACGGCTATTCTGTACTTTATTGGAATGGAACCATGAGGAATGTAAAGTTAAAAGAAATAATAATGGATGTCGGGCTTAAATAGTAAACTGAAAACAAATTAATGCATCATTAAAAACATTTTCCATTTACAGCGGTTATATTAATTGTTGTTGCTAATAACAATTGGGTTGAAAATTAACAAAAGGGATGAAGAAGAGGTGTAAAATTTTATCTCAATATATATAACTACAAGCATATATATCATGAATGATTGATTGATTGATCTTAACTGGCTCTCATCTTCTTCTTGGCAGGATTAGAAGAGCTAGGCATTGCCATAAACACCGAAGTAAGATCGTCTGGAACCTTAAAAAACCCTTGTGAAGGCCGTGGCCTCAGTTTTCTTCTAGCTTGGGTTTGTTTCTTCGGTGCTGGTGGACACACCGGCGGTTGCTTCAAGGTCACGTGAGCTGCAGGTGACTTGGGTGTGTGGCACTCTTCATGTTCATGGACGTCACCTTCCAAAAGCAAAAGCTCCTCGTCCTCGTCCTCATCCTCCTTTGCGTTGTTTAAAGGTCGTAGTTTTGGAACCACAACTCTTATTGGCGTAATTGGTCGGAATTGATCTTCTTCTTCTGGTGATGTTGCAAAACCCATTTTGGGTTGGGGAAGAAATCTCATCTTCTTGGCTGTGTAGTGAGGAAAGAGCTAGGTTATTTTGATTAATAAATTGTGGGTTAGTTGTTTGGACAAAAAGGTAAAAGAAGGCGTGCTGAGGAAATCGAGAGGGTGATATGATGAAGGTGCTGAAGGAGAGGCAGATACATATGACCATCAAAGCATCAAAGTGAGAGAGAGAGAGAGAGAGATGTGATGGGAGGGCAGCCGGACTCACACTAACATGTAAACAACACTGCAGATGGGAATGATGAAGAGATAGGGCAGGAACCGAAAGGTGTTGGAAGGGTGGGAAAAAGACAAACAAATATTAATTAATTAAGAAATGGGCAGTGAGTGTAGGAGAGAGATGTTTAAAGTGGCAACAACGCAGCCTTCTAAGCGAGGAAATTAGAAAGCGGCTTCTAGCTCAAGTAGTTAAAGTGTAGATATCTGAGGTTCTGTGTTCGAATTTTCTCTCTGTCAATATCGCTCGTATAATAAAAATACTGAAAAAGATTAAAACTCTTATTACCCACCAAAAAATAAATAGAAGAGAGGATTAAAACTCTTATTACCCACCAAAAAATAAGCAGAAGAGAGAAGGAAAAAAGTGGGGAAATTAAGAGACACCAATAATAATCTTGGGTGTGTGTGTGCCTCCCTTTTTCCACTCATCACTCATGCCTATCCTGCCATGTTACTTTTGCCTTTTGTTTTTTTTTGGTTCTTCTTCTGTCTAAACCATGTTGGCCATGTTTTCTTTTTCACCCTTTCATGTTGTTTGTTGTCCCTGCTATACGTCATAAGTGGCTCTTCTGTTTTTACACTTTTTTTCCGTGTAAATTATTACATTTTATACGAATTATGCCTTTTCTTTTATAGAAGCTGCCTGCCTGCCACACCCAGTTTCGTATTGTTTGATATATAATGTAGAAAAAGCGTATTAGTAAGCCATTAATGTGATTAAAAAAACAGCCACGGTAGTAATTCATAATTGGTTTTTTTTATTATTATAAATAAATAAATAATAAAAACTGGGTAGATTTGAATGAAAAATTTAGTAGCTGGCTAGATTGATTATCTTGTGTCATGATCATGAAGTACAGTTTGCTTGCTTAAGATCCAAAACAAATAATATAGATAGGTGCAGTGCAGAGAGAGACTGCAGAAAGCTGGTGAAATCACATGATCCATCTCATTAAAGCTACTATTTATTGAATTTTATATAGGGCAAAGCCAAAGCCAGCATCACATGTGTATGCTGCTTTCTGCTTGCTTGCTGCAGATCAACTATATATTTCATACCACCAACAACGTTGCTTCAACGAATTGAAAGCAGAACTGAAATGGAATCTTGAAGTCACTGGCCAACAAATTTGAAGAAATTGAACCACAGCACCGGGCCTTTGTTTGGGCCTTTGTGTTGGACGTATATTTTAGAGGCACCACTGCACTGCTTTTAGCCCTTCCAAAGAGTTGGCAAACAATGCACAACTATCATAGGCTTATAGATGCTTTTGACCCATCTAAAACCCTACCTCATTGAGGTTTGCCAAGAAGATTACTCTCAACAAGTCTCGCCTCTTGTGATTACACATCAAAATTCATAACAAACTACAAATATAACATATTTCTATAAAGTTGTAAAACCAAATGGGTACATGCATGGGGCAAGGGAAGTAAACTGACTTGTTGATGCTCTTTTTCGGAGAGGGTCAACTTAGAGAAAAAGGGATTTGCCTTCAGCAGGGAAAGGGTCTGGGCCTTCAATAAGGGCTAGCCTGCAGAAGACAAAAATAGGGGAAGCAGTCGTCAAGCTCCGGGCACCGGTGTGGTGCCGGCCGAAGGCTCTCCGATGCTTAAGTCAGCTAAGAAGGGTAACTTTTGCAGAGTAATAGTAAAAGGCAGAAAAGTAGTTACCCCTCTTACTAGGGTACTGTTCCCTTTTTATAGGGAAGTGAAAGTGGGAGGTTGGTGTAGATTTCCGATGTGGGACTCTGTGCAAGTTGCCGCGGTGGTGACACGTGTCATGAGAATTAGGTTTAACAGTTTGTGAGCTTTGGCAGTCGGGAGTTTCGGCAGGTGCTTGGCACCTCGGAAGAGTGTCTTCCTTCGGCAAGAGAGAAGGCGTGTCTGCCTTGGTGCTAGTTGTTTTGAGGCTGGATATGTTCGGTTGATTATGGTGTAAACAGTAGTCCCCCAAGTTCGCGGTCAAGAAGTGACTTCTGGGTTGGGAACTTGTAAGCTTTTGTGTGATCATGACCGAGCATTCCAGGTTCAGTGGGAGCCGTAGGGCAGTCCCTAGTCCCCCAAGTTGTCAAGCTAGAAGTGGCGTTAACACTTGGAAGGTATAAGAAAAGCTGTGTTAGCCTTAGTGTTTGTTGGTAGCTGGGTACCTTTAAAAGAAAAGTAGACTTGGGTTTTTGAAGCTTCAGTAAGAGAATCTGTGGGCCCTAGTGTTTATGACCCGGGTCCTCCATTTGATAACCAAAGGGATAGGTGGTGAGGAAATAGGGACTTGGGCCACAAATTTATAGCAAAAGAAAACCCAAAAAGGGGCCTTGGAATTTTAAGAGAAAAAGCCGGGCTTTTTGTTGGTCAAGGTTGGGCTTTGGAATTTAGGCAGCAAGGCTCTATTGGGCTTTGGCAAGGGAGAACCACATGAACCTTCTTAAAAAAATGAATGCACCTTTTGCAAAAGTCCCAACCGTTTTTTTTTTGTTTTTTGTTTTTTATTTTTAATTTTTTTTTAGGGACCTTGTGAGCTGAGACTTGTGGAGCTTGGTTGCCGAGGCAAAAGAAAGTGGTTTCGATGTGAGCAGTAGCCAGGGCATGGGCCCACAGATTCCCTTTTTTGCAAGGGGAGTGAGCTGGGATCATTTGGGTAGGCTGGGCCTTCGGCAAGGTCCTTGTTTTGGGCAAGGACCCGGGTATGTGGCCAGGGTTTGGCTCTCCCCCCTTTTTTTTGGGCCTAGGCCTGTGGTGAGCTGGACTTTATTATGCCCAAAGCTTGCACGTGAGCCTCCATATGTTTGAATGCTCCTTGCCGTTCGGCAAGGAGTCAACAAGACCTGAGGCTTGGCTCGAGATGTATGTGTCTTGGCCAAAACAAGGGGCTGGGCTGTCAATTTTAGCCTAGGTAAGACTCGGGTAGTTGTTAGGGTATTGAGGGGAGTATAAAAAGGAATAAGGAACACATTCGTTTTAGCTAACTTGGTTAAGTCATGTATGCATAATCAACTTCATTTATAATTGAAACAACAAACCGTATCGACCTGCCACGCATTCGCAAACATCACGTTACCTACCTTAACGTTGGTCCCAAGTCATAAGTCATAAAACCAAACTTTGCTCACTGCTCAAAACCCCATCATTTCATAATATCATACAACTCATTGACTTTTGGATACCACAACACACAAACAGCAAAACCCACATCTCACAGTCAACGAACACACCCAAACATGCGTTAGCTGGCGTGGGCCCACCCACGAATAACTCCATTGACTTTCTGCACATAAAACGACATCAAAATTAAACAAAAACAGAAGATTATTATTCTAACGCGCACCTCACACCCCACTCTTTTTGACTTTTTGCGCGTGCAACCAAAGATTTGAACCAGAAGAATCTAATTCTCCATCCACCAACAATAAATTTCGTATCAAAAGATTTGATTAAATTGAATAAATAAATTCAATATATCTAATATTCAAAAGTACCAACAAAATTATATTCCATTTCCTTCTTTCACTTTCACTTTCACCCTTCTTTCTTTCATAATTTACATCGAACCACTCCCATTCCCATTACACCGTATATTTGATTTTGACATTGGATATTTTTTCCCTTTGACTTTCTGCTCCGGCACACTAACATCCCTTGCAGTGCCACAGCTACTTTGACACGGGGCGCTTTCAACAGTCATGATGGACGCAACATGTGGACCGGATTTCAGGTTCACTGGAAAACAAGGCCCACAGAACCGGCTGTGATGGAAGGGTGAGGGTGACGGTGCTCGCCTTCGTAAGTAACGACGAGCATAGTGGGGTCGTCTTGTGCTCTCTCCACGTGTTTCCTCGCTGGACACCCTCTCACGCTGCTACACTTATAATACCCTCTGCAAACAAAAAAGCAAATAAAATATAATTAATAAAAGGAAAAAAGAACATTGAGATCTGTGTTTGACTTTGACTTTGAAAACTTCAACCCGATGTGCGGTTCAGATTAAAAGAGTAGAATAATACCTCGGGTAAGGCGAGCCCTTGATCGGCTTTTGACCATACTTTCTCCAGGAGAATTCATCCGAAGGTATATCGGCGATTTTTGAACTAATCGCCGGCACTCTAATCGTCCTCCTAACCTTGGACTTCCTGCAAATAATTGAAATTAATTTAATTTAATTTAATATATATAAAAATTCAAAGAATAATAAAAATCTTGAGCTGAAAATGCACAAAATCAGTACCTTCTTTTAGAGCAATGGCAGCGGCTGCGGGGGAGAGGGGGAGAGGGGAGGTTCCCCGGCTGAGAAGGCCGGCGCCGGTGGCGCGAGAATTGACGAGATGGCTTTACCGTTCGAAACGCTGCCGTCTCCGATTGTGATGGAGGACAAAAACGACGACGTCGTGGAGATTGGCGGGGATAGAGTGAGAGAGTCGTCGTTGTTGGACTTAGGGACAGAAAAAGCACTCGAAGTTGTCTGAGGCTTGGGTTGGACCGGTTGTACCGGGGTGGAGGATTGATTGGCCGGTCCGCGGCGGAACCGAGCGTGACCGGTCCGGTTCAAGACGGAGATGAGCTGCTTAAACTTGGAGACGGTTAAGTCAGTGATTTCTCGGCAGTCGAGGGGGGTTTGGGTTTGGGTTTGGGATGGGTTTTGATTCGATAGGACGCGGATCAGGTGGTCCATGCTCTGCAAGCCGGCGGAGGCTGCTTCTTCCATGGCCGTCCGATCGTCCATCCTTGAGAACCCAACGAGATCAATAGCCATTGATGCTGGCTTGGCTTTGAAGAGAGAGAGAATCAAGGGAGACTTAAAGAGAGGAGGATGGGTTTCGAATTGGGGGAGACTGAGAGGAGGGAGTGGGGGGGTTATAAAAGAAATGGAAAGTGGGTGTAAAAGTCAAAGGTTTGATCCAACGGTGGAGATTGGTTTGGATTTTTTTCTTCTAAATTTAATTTTGCATGGCACATGATGACATGAAGATAAAATAGGAGCTATTGAGGTCTAAAGGAGCTGGTGATGGGCCCCACAGTCTGGCAAAGGGGGTTTCTGCCTGTAAACGCACTGACTGGCTTTTAAAATTTTTGGGAAATCAAATGGTCAAATCCTCAATTTCTTGAAGATTACCATATCTCTTATTTTAATTGCAGATTGTTTCAGAATCATTTAGAGTTAAATATGTGATTTATTATTTGCTTAAGTCAAGTTTGATAGAGCGGATGTGTTCCTAACTCCGCATCCGAATTCGAATTACTTTTTTTCTGTAATTTAGATTAATCTAAAGTAAAATATTACTCATACAAGAAATAAATGTGATTTATTCGCAATGTCAAATGGGTGGTTTTGTTTGTGGAATATTAGGGTTGAAAAAGTCCAAGCCAAATTGGTTTTTGTGCAAAAGTAATCAGTAAAGATTCTTGCTCACAGTGAATAAAAGATTATTCTGGCAGTATATTTTTGTAGGTGGGCAAAGGCCAAAGGCGTTCTCAGTTGCTTATGTTGACTTGTTCATCCAAAGCACATTTGAATCCAGCAGTCTTCAACCCAATAAACAATAATCATTAAGAACAAAACAATAACCATCATGCATATGTTTGCAAGTTGCAAATAAACAAAGCAAACAAAAGTAACTCCACCATCTTATGTATTTAGCCTTTACCTAGTTGTACATTTTTATAATTGGCTATAAAATGTTGATGTGTGTAGGATCTATCATAAAACCTATAGATTAATGATTGAAAATCATCTAGGTAAGCTTAGGCGATTATGCGTAGAACTTGCGTCCAGTGGCGGAGGTAGAGTTTGGTATTTGGGGGTGACACAAGCTTAAAATTATGGGATTTTTTGTGCAATCTTATACTATACTCTTTATATAGTCAAAGAGGTGAGAAGATGGTGGGGGCCCAGGCCATCTCAGGCCTATGAATAACTCCGCCCCTGCTTGCGTCCTTCTCTCACATACACACTAATATTATCAAGATTGTTATAGGGATTCGAATCTGAAATTACTAATTTGTAAATCAATGATATTTTTCATTCGATTAGACCCCATTGGTTATTTTAATGTATTTTTAATCATTCTAAAAGCACTGTTAAACTTGTAAACTTGTCAATGAATAAACTATTTCCTTTCTTGGTTTGGTGTTGATAATTGAAGAGACTTTAATGTGAATTGACTTTATTTTTCTGTTGCAAAACTTAGAGTCAAAGGCTAGTTGGTCTACTCTCTACAATTTGATGAGCAAATGCAAACATGGAAAACGCTTATTGTTATTCTTTTTTCTCATCACGAGTATTTGACCAATTTCAGAACTTTCCTCATCCTTCCACGCAATACATAAACCCAAATTCCAAACTAAACGCTACGTTTCATGTATGAATTAGAAATCCGCTGGTGGTGGCTGGTGGTGGGGGGCCCACGAATTTGAAAATCTTTGACAACCACGACGAAGTAAACGTGATAGAGCAGGAACCTAGGTGCCGGGTGGGGCCCGCTAGGTGACTAACGTTTCGTCTCCGGTTCGTTTTTCGTTTGCCGGGTTTGACATCTTTTTTTTTAGCGAGTGAAATTCTTTGCTTTATTTTGGGTTGGGACTGGGGGGACTTTTGTTAAACCGTCCGATGAGTCTTCGCTCATCCAACGGCCGCGTAGCACTGTTAGTGGTTGACCAAAGAAATAATTAATTATTCTAATGAATGCGCATATGAAGTGGAGATTTTCTTTTCGGACGCGTGCTTAAGAATTTCAACCATTTGCGAGACAGGTAGAAATTTGGCGTCAAAAGAATATTATGCATGGTCGAGTAAGAAGGGGGCCGTGGCTTTCTTAATCAAATCTTAATTATTAAATAATCACAATGGTCATTGACCAAAAAAAATTAATAATCACAATGCTCGAGGCTTTCTCTTGTTCTGATCTAATCCATCATTTGTGAAATATATGATGAAGAAAAATTATTATACCTAGTGAGTGCCAAAAGAAATTATTATTCTTAAAAGAATTATTTACACTAATACCCCTTTTGAGATTTTTAGTTTTTTCACAAAATCTCTAAGATTTTTGAAATTACATGAACACCCCCTCTAGTTTCAGTTTGGTTTCACAACACCCATTTTCTATTGATGAATTTATACACACAACAAAATTTTTTTGTTCAAAAGACAAAATTGGTCTTTGAGATTAGATTGCATGTATATTCATTGAGGTTAATTTTGTATTTGCATAAGTTTTTCTCAATGAAATTATTAGTTTTTGGACGGACAATCAACGAAAATAGGTTTTGTAAAAACAAACTGAAACCTCAGAGGGTGTTCGTGGAGTTTTGTGAAAACACTAAAATCCTGAGAGAGTGTTTCTGTAAATAACTCTTCTTAAAATTAAATATTTTTATATTATTTTTTTCTTCGCCAAAGAGAGAAGAAAAAAAAAAAAACTCTTTCTGTTAATGAAAAGATAATGTATAATCTGACAGCCCCTTAAACAACATGAAGGGCAAGTTTGACATTGCTGTGTTGTAAAAATAATCACTATCAAATTTGATGCGAGAGAAAGAAGTTTGGCGTTTGGTAAACTTTTTGTTAGTTTGGCATTCTGTAAACTTTTTGTTAGTTTGACATTCGGTAAACTTTTTGTTAAAAGTCTTGTTGGAATTGATTCCCGCATAATCATTAAATCCATCACATTTTCTAAAATGATTCCCGCAAAATTAGAAAATGAAAGCACCTTATTAGCTGCTTTCCCTTATAATCAATGCTAAATGGGCACCAAACATAATCCCAATTTTTAACAATAAAGATTTTTTTTTTTATAAAAAAAAACCAACATTAGATATTCAATTCGCCATAAAATGCATATCTTGTATTTCTTTCACTTGGTCAAACTAGAAAAAAAAAAAAATCAAATTATGATTTTGCGCGTCTCAGCTCTTCATCTTTAGATTTTGTTCCATAGTTGTAATGTGAACATTTTCCCTCATAGTCTAAATCACAACTAAGGAAATTGAGCAATACTGGACTTGGCTGCTCACGTTCGGCTGTTGACCCAATTTGAACATCCTCTAGAACCAAAATTTACGAAAAAACATTCTATTTTGAAAAATGCACCAAAAAATAATACACCCTTTTTATAACATGCATTTTCATTCTATGACTTTAAATTCACAATTTGACCTCAAGGAAAAAAATAAATAAATTTCATTTATAAGTTAATGCTACTTCATAATTTCATTTTAACTAAAGTAAGTCAAAATTAAAATTATGATATGGGACTCACCACCTTTATACATATTTAAACTGATTATATATGGTTGTCTTGTTAATTACATGTTATACTTTCATAGATATTATCATTAATAAGTACATGCTTTAAATAAATATCCGCATATGTTTTGTTAGCCTTATCTCGTTGCACCTCCTGTATGTTAATACTTGGTGGCTAAGTTTAAAGGATTGTAGTGATCGACTTTGTTCATATTAATGATAGACACGTCTACTTTATTATAGTCAACCTAGGAGCACTATCACTTTGTGAGTTGTCACCTCCTGCTATAATTTCTTATATCTGGCAGCATAACATTCATATTTACATGCCAATTGACACCACTTACTTGATATGCCGACATTTCCTTTATCTCATCTTTAGTTGACTCTTATTTGTACTATAAATAGGAGCTACTTCACTGTTAATTCAATACAACTACTTTGAGAGATTGCATGCGGCAAATGCAAGGTAATAAAGAGATGCAAGGAAAGATGATATTGGAGGAGATACAGAGCTTTGTTTGTGTTTTAGGAGCTATACTTTGGAATCGAGGTAGGGGATTTCTTGCGGGACTTTACGGAGATTAATTTAATTGAATTTCGTGAGCATTAAATTATGCATGGTATTCTAGTTTAGTTGGTATTCTTTGTTATTGGTTGTTTACGTGTTGTTAATTATCATTATATTATTTTATTAATATTGACATGTTCATATGTTATCGGATAGGGCTGGAGTTCTTGGTTTGATAAAGAAAGTATGGAAAAAAGGGTAATGAGAAAGATCTTTTGTGTAATTGAGTCTGACCATTGTAGGGACCAAGTTTAGGCAAGCCCGTGTGCACAATAGAATAGGATATCGATGGTATAATTGTCGATTGAGTGATTTGGGTTTGAAGATCAATGGCTTAGACAAGACGACTAGCAAAAAGGGAATTATGAGATTATTAAGATGAGTGTTAGTTTATATACTGGGGCATCCATAATCACAGTGGTAAAGTGCATGGTATGAGACATGCAGATTTGTTTGCCCTATTATATAGATTAACGAGTTGGGTAGAATTGAAGCTCATTCATGGATTATTATATTTTATATGTTATGTGATTGCACGTCACTTAATTTAGTTATATCAATCTACTGTGGTAAGGTCTCATGTCCTTACTAAGTGGTGGTTGCTTATCCCTCACCCTGTTTAATTTTTCAGATGAATTAGTGGGTAAGACAAGGATTAAAACAACTAAGGGTGATAAAGCATTTTTATAACATAAGTTAATTTTTAAATCATATTTCGACTTACTTTTATTTTATTTTCTTACATACTAGGTGTGGGGTTTCCACGACCCTTGGGTCTGGGGCATGACAAAAATGGTCACTAAGAGTTTCTTGTTGCTATCCCTTTATGAACTATTACTCTTCTTTATTATACAATCTGAATTTGCCAATACATTCCATTTCAATTTGTTTTCCTTGTACGATACATCTTTTGCTCTTATTATTGTTAAAAATTTCTAGTTTACATACAGAGAGCTTCAGTTAAGGGATCTATCAAGTAAGTTTTTTTGAGGGATACCATTGTAG